TTACCATGTAATGTGAAGTAAAAGAAACAGTGAAATGCAGTCTAAATTAAAGGAAAGGCGTGATTAGTAACATGCAGATTGCTGAGGGATGTTTTTTCAGAAGTGCTCTTTGAGCACACAGAGGTACCAGACAGACATGCAGATAAGAGGAGTGGGTCCGCCGGGCGGTGGTGGCACACGCCTTTAATCCCAGCACTCGGGAGGCAGAGGCAGGCGGATCTCTGTGAGTTCGAGGCCAGCCTGGTCTACAGCGCGAGATCCAGGAAAGGCGCAAAGCTACACAGAGAAACCCTGTCTCGAAAAACCAAAAAAAAAAAAAAAAAAAAGAGGAGTGGGTCCTACTTTACTTGAATTGGTATTTTCAATTAAAATTTTATAGTACAGAAATAGTACATACTGTTGTAAAAATTGGAAAGCACAAAAAATTAGGATAGACAAAATGATGGGAGCTTACAGAGCACTACACAGAGCCACGTTCCTCAGACAGTAATGATTTTATACTTGCTCTGGATGTTCATGTGTATACATACAGATATATGCATTTATAAAACAGAAATGGGTTAATCTCTGGTGTTTAGTCATTTTGATGAGATACATAAACATCCATTAAGTTTACACAAGCTTTGTCCAAAGAAGTCTTGCTTCATGTTTCTGTACATAATAAGAATTATGAATGGGGCTAACTTTTAGCCAGGTAAACATGTAACCAGTTGGGGATCTAGTCTAAACTATTTCACCAAGGGTGCATGAGCGTGAACTGGACGCGTGGTTGTTTATAATAGTACAATGTTATCCACCAAAGGGAAACGGCTACGTAAACCATGGTACTCTGTGAAGTGCAGAGGAGAAAGATGATCTATGTGCTGAAGAAGAAATGATTGGGAGAGGTGGCTGAGTGCAAGGGGGAATCAATTTACATGACACCTTTTCTGGGAAGCCTGTAACTCTGCTCCCCTCCACGCCCTCCGCCCCCCGCCCTTTCAGGAGGAGTTGAGAAGTCCCCAGATCAGATACCTGTGCAACAGTTGCCACACATCTGATTCTCAAAGGCAGAAGGCTGGAACTGTGGAACCTGCTATGGAGCTCACAGGGTAGGAAGGAAGACAGCCATCTGAACAAGTAGTTCTACCACAACACAACTAGATGCAGCACCAAGGAGGAAGAAGAAGCTGTATTGAATATTTGACACGTGCCAACCATTTTGCTAGATGCTTTATCTGACAGTATTATCATGTAAGATAGTGTCTAAAGAAAAGCCCACAAAATCCTAGGACGCCTCAGTTACCCTCTGAAGAAAAGTAACTGTCTCCAGAATCCTATTCAAATATACTAGTTTGTGAGACAGACAAATACATGAAGCAATCCCTTTTCTTTGTCTATGAGAGAACAGACTAGGACTCAGTACCTCATCTAAAGATGACATACAGGTTAAACTTGGAGATCAGGAACCAAAAACCTGGCTTGACTCAAAATTCTGCCCAATAGGACTCTTCCATTTCAGAAGATGAAAGATCACGTGTCTCCTTTGGAAAATAAAAATGTTAGGTGGACAAAGCATGAGAAGGTGGGTATCCAGGACTAAAACAATATCTTAAGTACTGTCAAGTTGTTGCTCTATATCAGTGATTCTCAACCTGGGGGTCACAATTCCTTTGGAGGTCAAATGACTCACAGAGGTCACATATTGGATATCCTGCACATCAGATATTTACATTATGATTCATAACAGTAGCTATGTTTCAGTTTTGAAGTAACAACAAAAATAATTTTATAGCCGGGCGGTGGTGGCGCACGCCTTTAATCCCAGCACTCGGGAGGCAGAGCCAGGCGGATCTCTGTGAGTTCGAGGCCAGCCTGGTCTCCAAAGCGAGTTCCAGGAAAGGCGCAAAGCTACACAGAGAAACCCTGTCTCGAAAAACCAAAAAAAAAAAAAATAATAATAATAATTTTATGGTTGGGGGTCACAACAACACGAGGAACTGTACTAAGGGTCACAGCATTAGGAAGGTTAAGAACCACTACTCTATACAGTTTTGAAAGCACTAAGGTCTAGACAATATGGATGCTGAAATGATTTCCCATTCTCCTTTATATTCATCCCCCATCACCACAGGTAGCATGTGTATGCCTCTCCCTTGAAATGTAAAAGTGTCTACACATCATCAACCTTGAAATTAGGACACAGGTTCAAAAGTCCAAGTTGTACCACAGCTGTTCATTTAGTAGATGGCAGATCCAGATTTCAAAGAACAGGTCAGCATTATATCCCACAAGTGAGGAGATGGTTAGTTAGAAAGTACTTGTGTTAGAAACATAAGGACCTGATACTGGTCCCCAGAACCCACCTAAAAAGGTAAGCATGGAGGTGTAAGCTTGTCGTACCAGCCCTGCTGGGGCAGCTGGGCAGACCCCTGGGACATGCTGGCCAATCGACCTAGTCTAATCGGTGAGTTTCAGGCCAGGGGGAAATCCTATGCTTCCTCCCCACACAAAAAAGGTCATAAGGGACACCTAAGGCTGCCCTCTGGTCTTCATATTCACATGCACACATACATACCGCCCCCTCCACCCCCACACATGCACACAGCACGCACACATGCACACACACACACGCGCACACACACACAGATACAGGTTACTGGAGAAAGGCTCAAAATGTGAAAAAGAGTAGAAGTGGTCTGGAAGTTCTCTTGGGCTTTGAAGCAGGAAAGAGTATACTTGGTATCAACCCAGATGAGATAATCTCTAATTTCAACCTATGCAAGCCTTAGCTGTCTATCTCTCTAACTCAAATACTAGACCTAGAGGACATGACCTTAATCTATTGCTCATTTGCTATCATCTAGAGTACAGCTTATAGTAAGTGCTTAATAAATATTTGTTGAATGAATAAGTGAGAAAATTCCCAATACATCAAAGGATCATTCTAGATAGATTTGGAGGCATGGAATACCATGAAATGAGGACTAGGGATCATTCACAAGTACAATTCTATGTGCAAATCTTTTTACTTGCTAAAATTTGCATGTAATCCCCAAACTAATACTGGTGGTGCCTTTGAAGTCATTCATGGTGTAATCATTATTTTTCATTGTTATCTTGACTAGATTTAGAATCACCATGGAAATGTGAACAGCCTGAAAGTGAGCAGCAACATCCCAAACTAGGGAAGAAAAAAAGTGAGCCGAGCATTCATTTCTCCGCTTACTGACTGTGGATGCAATGGGACCAGCTCCCTCCAGCTCCAGCTGCTATGAGGACCTGTACCCCTCAATATGTGAGCCAGAACAAATAAATCCTTCCTTAAGCTGTTTTTGTTAGGTATTTGTCATAAAAAGAAAACTAAGTCATGCACATGGATATGTGGATAGGAGCACATGTCTATTGTTCTTTGTGCTTGTCCCAAACTGGGTCAGTAAGGCAAGGTTGGGCTTTCTTGGTTTGGCGCTCACACAGAGACGGCCGGAGGACAGAGGCAGTCTGGTAGTTTTGTGCTATAAACTCTAGTTTTGGGGTTAAACGGACAGAGTTTGAGTTTTAACTCTGGCACCTATTGGGGGCAAATCACACTTCTGAAAATCATTTCCTGTTGTATAAAATACAGGGAACAAAAATCTAGCAGGAAAATGGTGTCCAGGATTTAAGATTATTATCCACAGGGGTTAGGTAGGTTAAGGAAATGCACTTCAGGAAGTCTAGAGCAATTGGAAGAAGCGGTTAGGACATGGAGGAACAGGACTTCTCCCTTGTCCCACAACCTCAACTGCAGAACCTTCTATGCATTGAACCCTTGGCTTATCGGTCTCTCTTCTACTAAACTCTATGATCAAGGTCAGATCTCTGGGAAGGAAGCAAAAGCTACCATCTAAATCTCTAAACAAGTAACCACCAAGTACAGATTTATCCGAAGACATGACCCATACATTTGGTTTTCAACTGCAGACTGACAACAATTGATAACAGTGACCAACTCAGAGATCTGCAGTTTCCCCAGGACTGTGACAACTACTGTAACTGACATGAATTACAACAGCTGTAAGAGCCTGCTCCTTCCAGTGTGTTTCACTAACAAGGCTCAAACATATGGCTTATGAGACAATGCTGTCACCTCAGAGTAAAGACTCTTTTAAGTCACAGGAACAGACTTTACTTCTTTCTCTATTAAGACTAAAATCTTACCACAGCAAAACACAAGGAACTATATTGTTATGTGCTACAGGTCAGGTAAGCAAAACAGTAAAGCTTTTCCACAAAAGCCTACAAACTCCAAAACACAGTGAATCTGATGCCAAATTCACAGCTTATTCTTCTCTTTTGAGAGCTAAGAAAAACAACTCCAGACAGTCATGAAATGACATGAGGACAGTGCAGTTTTGTACACACTTATATTCTCATTTTCCCTCCCTCTCTGCCCAAGGTACTGGACTCTCATTCCAATATTCAATTTCCTCCAGCTTCCAAAATAAAACCCTCACTGTCCAGTATTCTTCAACTTCTAAAACTCAAGTCAAAATTACGAGTGATGAGCTAATTTCTTCCCAGTAAATGTCTGGTATAATTTTATTTGGGTATAAGATAGTGTAAAAGACCATCTAGAAACACGGCTAGAACTGCTACTGGACGCCAAACATTGCCATACTATGAAGGTGCAAACATTCTCTGTAAAAAGACAATGCTGAAGGTCGTCTCTGAGCCGTTGTAATTCACTCAGAGGTTGTGTGTGGTAAATGTCCTGTATCTTATGGACGTCCTGGATGACCAGGCCCTTCCTTACAGGGTAAAACTCATGCTCTGGCTAGCTCTGTCAAATAGAATCCAGTTCCATCCACGTAACAGATTTCAAATTGGTTGCTGCTGGGAAGCCTTTTCACCTGGATTTTCAGCAGTTTTGAGCAAAAGCACTTTCGGGGGACAAAGATTCTAAAAGAGGAGAGTGATCAAATGACATGTAAAGGGAGGGAGGCAGAAATAGTTTAAGCAAGCCCATTCCAGTGCTGTACCTTGCAGAGCCTGTGTTCAGCGTCGTCATCTGCCTCTCTCGCCTTCACCCTTCCAGGTGCCTACAAGAAGCAAAGTGAGAGACGTTAGTTTCCAGGGAAAAAGAGGCTGAAATCCCGAGGTTGAGGGGGACAGTCACGGAAGGCAGGAGAGAGGAGAAGCGGCCTGAGAAGGCGGGTCATAGCAAGGATGGTGAAAGAGGATGAGGTGAGAGAAGCTGGCCGGCGAGCGCCAGAGCGTTGGAGGGCTGGGCCCGGGCCGCGCCGGGAAAGGGGATTTGCGCGTTCTCGGACAGCCCGCGGGGAGAGGGAGAGGGGCTTTGCGCGCTCCCGGGAGGCCCAAAAGGAGCGAGGCTGTGCGTGTCCCCGGACGGCCGAGGGTCCAGTCCTGACGCCCGAACCCACCTGGCCGCGCGGACACCGCCGCCCCGAGGTCCGTATCACAGCACAGCGCCGCCTTCTCGGAGCGCGAGCCTCGGCGCACAAACGCTCAAGGTACCTCGGCCGCACACACGCGCCTCGCCCCGCCCCCTGGCTCCAGTCATTGGTTGCTGGACACCGCCCCATGCACCTATTGGATAGCAGAGAATGCCGCTCACTGACCTGGTTTTGATTGGTCTAAATGTGAAGCAATGCCCGCCCATCTCTTTCAGAAGTTCCAGCTTGTGATTGGTCTTAGCATCTGTCCATTCGCTCCGCCCTCACTGGAGACCACCATTTCTGATTGGTTGAGAAAGCGCTGGTCACGCCTAGATTTCAACCCTAGGATGAATCATCCCCACATCGGGGAGGAGCCCGAGCGCCGCGACTCCGGGTTTGTTTACAATGGTTTCGGCTTCTACTTCGCCCATTGGCTAAGATGGCAGTCATTCTCGCCTGTTTTGGTAACTCAGGAAGAGGGAGGCGGGTCTCTAAGGGGTTTCCTCTGCTGTCTACTAGCTAGAGCTGAGTTTTAAGAGCTATGGAGCAGGGATTTGCCTCTGTGTTAGGTCCCGAGGTTAAGAAGTGGGACTACTTGGAAGAACGGAGAGTGACGCTTCCACGTTTTTAGAAACAAACTTGACTTTTTCAGTCCCAGCAGGCTCGAGGCTGAGGCAGGAGGATCAAAAATTATTGGGCCAGCCTGAGCTACATTGTGTGACCAAGTCTCAGAAAAACAAGGCAATCCACATACAAAAAACCTTGTCTGTCCTTTAGATTTGACGATATCCAAATCTTGAGTTATGTTCATAAAAAGGAAATGGAATATTGGTGGCTGGAGTGGTGGTGGATCAGCAGTTCAATGCATTTTCTGTTCTTGCATAAGGGATTTCTAGCACACACAGTGACTCACAACCGGCGTTAACTCCAGCTCCAGGGATCGGACGCCCTCTTCTGGCCTCCAGTGGTACTGCACGCACATGGTACACAGGTAAAACACTCATGCACATAAATCTTTTTATTAAAGTGGATTTAAAAAAAAACACGGAGCTCTTTATACATCATTTTCATACACTTTTAAACTTATTCATACATTTTAAAAAATGGAACTCTTCATACATCCTCCTACCTACTACTGTGCTAATTAAAACCACAACACAAAGTATACACTTAGTAAAGGAGTGGATAAAGATAATGAAGATAATTGGATAAATTCATCATCTGACATTAACTTTTCCTTTCTCCCTCCTCAGGGAATCTCCTACCCTGATTGGTCTCTCTGGGTAGTCCAGGTCTATCACCCATTCTTTTTCTCACCTTTGGAGAACCTAATCTACTTCTAAGGCACAGATTTTTTTAAATGTACACATTTATTTGCTTATTTATGTATTTATTAATGTGTGTGGGCATGTGTGGAGGTCAGAGGACAGCTTGCAGTAGTCAGTTCGGTCCTTTCACATGTGGCAGGTACCCTTTATTTTCTGGGCTTATTGATAGCCCAGAATCTGATTCATTTTTTAAAAAATATTTATTTTTAATTTGTGTGTATGTGGGTGCCTGTGTGTGGGTAAGTACACATGAGTGCAGGTGCCCACGGAGGCCAAAGGCATTGGATTCTCCTGGAGCTGAAATTATAGGCAGTTGTGAGCTGCCCAATGTGCTGGGAACTGAACTCCGATCTTCTGTAGGAGTGGTATGTTCTCTGAATGGCTGGGCCATCTCTCCAGGCCCTAGGAGCTGAATCTTAACAACTGTGTCTACCTTCATTTTATGTCCATCCAGAATCATATTTACAACTGCCCAGTAGAAATTCTAACTCAGTAGCCTGGGAGACAGAACAAAATAAAATGATCTGACCCCAAAGTCTTGCTCTTATGCCTCAACTAGGGTTTTCTGTCTGCATAAATTGTACCACTGTTCAAAAATACTACCCTAGGAGCTGGAGAGATGGCCCAGAGGTTAAGAGCACTTGCTGCTCTGGCACAGGACTCAGGTTTGGTTCCCACGTGGTGGTTCACAGCTGTCTGTATCTCCAGTTCCAGGGGATCTGATGTCCTTATCTGACCTTAGGCACCAGACATACATCTGGTACACATACATATGTGCAGTAAACACTTAAATATATAAAAATAAAAGAAATTTGGAAAATACCAAAACTCCAAAATAACACTCTAAATGAATACATTAGATATATACTTAAGTGTTAAATATTATAATAAGTTATAATAATGAATAATAAATACACAAGTAAATCCATTGATGGACTAAATATTCCTGAGCATCTACAACATTCCAGGCTCTGTGCAAATGATGTGGCTGAAAGAATGAAAATATGTGGATTGTGTGCAGTGGCTCTGATTGGCAGCAAAGAAGTAACCCAAGATAATTCAAGTGCTGTGTTATGAGTGCTAACGAAGAAAAGGCAGAGTTACTGAATGGCCAGGGAAACATGGCTATTTTAAGTAGAATTGTTAGTTTAAGAGCCCTACAAAGACATCATTGAACACAGAGACACAAATTAAGTGACAAAGTGAAACTTGGGAAAGAGCCACTAAGATACACATCTCCAGAATCTCTCTTATGTGGCCTCATTCCTTATGAAGCTGTGTGGTTAGGTAGTTAAGCAATCTATTGAAGAATGCCTACTCAAGTTTAAGGCTTTATTTGATGATCCTGTGACTCCTAACTGTGGATCCCTGCACAAAATCCATGCACATTCAGGTCCTGTCCTAGTCAGCTTGAACTGTCAACTTGGCATGGTCTAAATCACCTGAGAAGAGATATTGAGGGATTGTCAAAATCAAACAGACCTGTGGGTCTATCTGTGGAGGATTGTTTCCATTGTTAATTGACATAGGAGGGCCCAGTCTACTGTAGGCAGCATTATTCCCTGGGCAAGTGGTCCTGGGCTGTACAAGAAAGCCAGCTGAGCAGGAAGTTGTCAGTGAAATAGTAAGCAGTATTTATTCCTCTAGTTCATGCTTAAGTTCTTGCTTGAGTTCTGTCCCAACTTCCCTCAGTGATGGACTTTGATCTGGAAGTGTAAGCCCAATAAATCCTTTCCGTTCCTAAGTTGCTTTTGGCCATAGTATTTTATCACAGCAACAGGAAGTAAGCTAGAACAGGTCCCTTAGGTTGGCCCTCTGTTTTCATGGGTACACGGAATCTATTACCTTAACTCCTTTTAAAAAGATCTGTCTGTCTGTCTGTCCATCTGTCTAGCTAGCTAGGTTTTTCAAGACAGAGTTTCTCTGTGTATCCCTGGCTGTCCTAGAACTTGCTCTTAAGTGTGTATGTGTGTGTGTTTATGTACGCACGGGTGTGGTGCCTACAGAAGCTAAAAGAGGGCGTCACCTGGGTTTCTAGGTGCATTGTGAGAAGAGGGGTGTGTGCAGAGCCCAAACTAAGTGGAGTCGCAGATGCTAAACTAGCCTCTTGCTTTTGCCTCAATTCTACTTCTTGTTTCTGCAAACTTAAATACTACGGGGATCTCATATAAGTGAAATCACGTGGTCTTTGTCCTTTTGTAATTCAACGCCATCCAAGTTCCTGTATTTGTAGTTCACTCCCTTTTCAGGCTTAACAGTATTCCGAAGCTGGATGCATTGCTCATATCCATGATGGACGTTCTTGTTTCAAATCCTTTGTTTCCTTTAGAATCTGGTTGTTTTGACTCATAGGAATTTTGTTTTGTTTTTCAAAATAGGATTACTTCCTGTAGCTCTGGCTGTCCTGGAACTCATTCTGTAGACCAGGCTAGCCTTGAACTCAGAGATCCACCTGCCTCTGCCTCCTGAGTGCTGGGATTAAAGGTGTGCGCCACCATGCTTGCCTAGGAATTATTTATGTATTCTAGATATTGTTACTTTTTAGATACATTATTTGCAGATATTTTGTTCTGTGAGTAGCCCTGATCTTCCCTCTCTTTCTTCCTTCCTTCACTCCCTTTTTCCTTTTATGAAACAGAGTCTAACTGTATATTCCCAGGTTATCCTCAAACTCACAATTCTCCTGCCTCAGTCTCCTGAGTGCTGTAATTAAAAGCCAGGAGCATCGTGCCTAGCTGGGTTGTTGTTATTTATTTTCTTGTCTGTTGACAGTGCCTTTAATGTTTCAAAAGTATCTGATTGTGTGGGATCAGGGAGCCTGAGATCATCTAAGCCATCCTTTCTCAGCACACATCAACAAGCACCCCAGGAAGAAGCAGAGGGAGGCATGGGGAGCCTGCTGTGGAGACAGAGCTTTTCTTCCTCTCTAAGAGTTGAGGGTCCATTTGACAGCCTGGTGAAGAGTTCAGATTTGTTCGTGTATATATTCATTGTACATGATACTGTGTTACACAAGGGTATTTTCATACACGTGTATATTGTATGTCCAGCATAGTCTCCCCCCTGCCTGCTTTCTCACCACTCCCCTCTCCAGATAGCCTCCTGTGTCCTCTAGACAGTTTGGCATCTACTTTCATGTCATACACACCTGCATTATTTTATATAATGTGTTTATATAAAAATCTAAGAACCACATATAGAGAAAGCATATGGTATTTACCTTCCTACAATTGACCTAATTTGTTTAATATGATGATCTCCCAGTCTATCCACTTTCCTACACAATTTCGTTCTCTTTTACAGCTGAAAAAACTCCATTGTGTATGAATACCGCATTTGCTTTATGCATTTCTCTGTTGATGGACATCTGGATTGTTCCCACAGCTTAGCTATGATGAATAGCGCTGCAGTGAGCATGGATGGGCAAGGGTCTGTGATGTGCTGACTTGCAGTTCTTGGGGTCAGTACCCAGGAGTGGCTTAGCTGAGCCAGATGAAGATTCAAACTATAGTGGAGAATCCAGAGTCTCTCTGGATTTCAGGAATACACACACACACACACACACACACACACACACACACACACACACCGGGGGGGGGGGGGGGGGGGGGGGCGGGGCGGAGACTGGGCTGCACAATCCAGCAAGATGCCTAGTAGAAAATCAGATCAACTCAAGAGGTCAAATGAAGACATGGATGGATGCTCACTGTATCTGGATAAGGTGCAGCCACAATGGGGCCAGCCTTGCAGTACATCCTCAAGATTAGGTAGCTTTGTAGTGGGT